TGCTTCTCTCTGCGTCCCCAGCCCGCCTGCAACGCCCACTGCCAGCCCACCCAGAAGGTCGAGAAGAAGATCGACTTCCACTGCGTGTCTGACAGCTCCGCTTCCCGTCACTGGGCCCAGATGATCAAGAAGGGTGCCAACCCCGACTTCAGCCAGAAGGGCGCCAACAAGTCCCTCAAGGTCAACATCCCTGAGAGCTGCCGTGCCTAAGATGGTTTAGCTATTTCATTATTGTAAACAGAATAAATAAATTCTGCAGCAATCCCATTTGTCTTCATAATGCTTATGTTTAACCCTAAAAACTTAAACATATATACAACACAGTCCCCAAAATCTACATCTTTTCGATTTTTCGATGTCGATTCAACGTCGGTTCAACGTTTCTATAGGGTACCACCAAGACCAGCACTGCTCTCACTATCCGGTTTTGTTCTTCTTACTTCCTCTTCGAGCTCAATAATTGCGGGTGCAGGGAAGAATGGCGGGTAGAACATAAAGGTTCCTGATTGGTCGAGCCTTTACCACCACTACCGGCGAGACCGGCGTGACGTAGAGGCGGGAGTCTATCGACCAATCGTGATCGTTTCTGTTCTCTGCTCTTCGTCTTCATCCGTCAGCCGAAATACACTATTTCTCAATGAGGCATGCTCACAACACACAGGAATACTCCCGATTAGTCAATTTTCTGCCTAAATGTTGCCTGGCTAATCACTTTGACAGTCAAAGGCAGAAAAATGACTAATCGGACCATGAGGGACTTAGACTTGCCTGGTAAGAAGAAGAAAGTAAGACGGTGGCGAGCGAACACCCATAAAACCGCTGAAAGCTGCATCGTAGAATTGCGTTAATATGCAAAGTAGCATATTTCAAAATAGTTTTTATCCTCTTCTATCCACAGCGAGTGTCCAGGCTCAGACATGCCATGCCAGTACGTTGGGTTGCCTATGCACTGGCTGCAGGCGCTGGCTGGCGTGTGGCAGGGAGTGGTGGGGGGAGCTGCTACTCCCCCGCCCCACGCCCCGCCCCGCCACGTCACGGCGCGCGCTCCGGGGTGAGCGCCGATCCCACAGTGCGCTCCGGTGAGCTGGTCAGTCGGAGCCCGTCGGTCGGTCTGGAAACCGGGACAGTGAGAGTAAGTGCGCGAGCTGTTGTTGGGTGTGAGCGAGCGCGTGACGGGCACCAGTAAGAGTGAGCGAGCGAGTGAGTGACGAGCGTCGGGGCAAGTGAGCGAGCGAGTGACAAGCAGACGAGTGAGTGACGAGAGAGCAGGACAAGTAGTGATCGAGTGACTAGGAGCAGGGTTAGCGAGTGAGTTGACAAGCAGCGGGGTATGTAGTGTGAGTAACAAGCAGACAAGTGAACGAGTGTGTGACTAGCACCGGGACAGGCGAGCGAGTAAGAAGCAGAGGAGTGAGCGAGTGAGTTGACAAGGAGGACGTTGGTAGTGTGTGAAGGGAGTGAAAATCTAAAAGAAAGGCTAGGAATGAGAACTAACACGCAGGTGAACAAGTGAAAGAGGAAGAGGCATGCGAATGGGACTACAGTAGCTGCAGTTGACGGGGGGTCATGGTCGGCAGTGGTCTCCGTGGAGTCTGGCGGGCGTGAGCAACAGCTGCGGGTCGTGCCGTAGCCATGGCGAGGACCTGGTCACCGTTCTCGACATCGGCGACGTCGGCGACGTTGTCCTCGTCGACCGCGTCGCCAGCGTCCTCCTCGTCGGATGGCCTGTCGAGATCCTCGACGTCTCTGTCGTCGTCGTCTCCGGCGCTCTCCTCTTCGTCAACGACGTCGTCGTCGGCCCGGCGTCTCCGCCTACGCTCCCCCGCGGCCGCGACGCCCTTCATGTCCTCGGCGCCGTCCGTCATCGCCGTGCTCTGCGCTGCCGCGCTCATCCTCAGGACGCCCGCCACGACGGCAGCCACAGGTGAGCGGTGAGCGGAGGCCCTCGTCAGATCTCGTGGAGTTGAAATGCATATGCACTATACTATACGCACTATACACACCATTATGCACTATAGACTCTATACACTGCTCAGGGCTTCGCCCAAGATGGCGTCTACAAGCCCTGATAGGCCTCCACGCTTGCAGCGCCCCCCGCCCCCTCATGGCGGCGTTGCCAATGGCGAGCGCAACAAACTTCCAGGCCCCCTCCCCCCGAGCGCGGCTCCCCCGTCAGAGATGGGGCACGGAGGAGGGGCCCGCGACCCCCCACGACCCCCCACGACCCCCCGTGACCCAGGGGGCAGGGGGGCGGCGCGGTGGGCCTAGCCGCCCCCCCATTGGCCAGTCGCCTCACTGCACCCCCACTGCTATACCGAGAAGTGCCCTGCCCCCCTCCGGCCTGGCGCATGCGTCAGCTGCAGCACCACACCGTGCGTGGTCGTATCCCTTCGAAAAATGTACCCCCCCCCCCACAGGAAGTATATACATACCGTACGCATGTAACGCACGAAAAATATACTTGCCCTCCCTTATCCCACTTATCCCTACGCCTTATACCTCCTAAACGTATGCGTGATGCGTGGTAAAGATAGGCGGGTCGAGCCTTCGCGGAGTTTCCCGTGGAGCCAATCGGGGGGAGACGGTTGGGAAGGGGGGGGGGAGGAGCTGCTTTCTCCTTCATCCCTGGCTGACTGTGACGCCACTTACCGTCTGCTTAACAATGTGCGCACGCACGTGGTTAAGGGGAGAGTGAGAGGGAGAGGGGAGGGGAATATAAACTGTCGAGCACATGCAAGCGCGCTCTCCCTCTCACACACACGCACACACACACACACACAGAGCACCGAAGTAGCAAGAAGAAGTATCAACCATACTTTACCGAAATGTTCTTGTATTGCAGTAGACGATGCAGCCTACGAGGACATCGATGAGGAGGCTGACGTGGAGGGTGGCGGTGTCCTCGCCATCCTCCGGTCGCTGGTGCGCGCGACGACCACGCGCCTGTCGTCGCTGGTGCTGGGCGCGGGCCCCGGCACTTACGACGACGACGCCGACGACGACGACGAGCAGGAGGCGGCGGCCGCGGTGCCGGTGCCGGCCGGGGCGCGGGTGCGCTACCGCGACTACCAGCTACTGCGCGTTCAGCTGCGCTCCAAGAGGAGCGGCGCCCAGGTGCGGCAGCTGGCGCAGCGCCACCCGGGCGCGCAGGTGTGGAGCCAAGCGCGCCGCCAGCGGACCGCCGACCTTCTGGTGCCGCCCGCCGAGGCCGCCGCCCTGGAGGACGCCCTGGACGACTTGGGTCTGCAGTACCGGGTGGTCATGTCCGACGTCCAGGTAAGAAGAGAAAAGAAAATTATGTCGGAATAGTCAAACTTGTTTGAAAATATGACGACGTTATAAAAACGTTGTAATTTAAATTTCTCGCAGCAAACTGCAATTCATATACTTCTAGAAATTTTTCCACAAGTCCAAAAACGTGAACTGAACGCAAACCTTTCAAAAATCAGGTGCCGAAAGGATGTTTTTTCGTGTTTTTTTTTTTCTGACGCGTTCCGCACTACACTAACAGACGTCTCCAGACTGTATATCAATCTCTTTCGACGCACATATTCTCCGCGTCCTAGCTGTATGGCGGGCTACATAACAAGGCACACACAGTTAGACTAGAGTTCCACAACGCCAGCCCCATGCCAGCCGTACGGCCCCGACACGCCACGCCCCGCCACGCCAGCACCCCATGAGAGGGGTGGGATGGGGCAGCGCGACGCACCGGTAGCACGGCTAAGGATGTCGCGTCGAACGTGAGGGAGACACGGGGCCGTGCGGACACGCGGGTGACTTCCTCGACGAGGTGTGTGCTCGACGAGCAGCAGGTCACGCGGCACATCATATGTGCACCCCTCCGGATCTGCAGCCCTGACGGCAGCGGTTCGACGCGTCCTAACAGCGATATTCTATCCACGGAGCGCGTCGTTTTCAAAATATCCTATCTACAAAGAGTCGGTTTCACAATGTCCTATCTGCTATGATTTTCTTAAGCAGACACGACATTGTGAAAATGACGCTTTGTAGATGGGATATTTTGAAAAGATAGAATATTGTTGTAAGGGCGCGTCGGTATGGGCTCGCCCGCTCTCCCCTCCGCACTCTGCTTCTCTGCGACGCAATGAGCGATTATTTTCCGAGTAAGAGGGTCTCTCTCGTGGCCGTTTCCAGAGAGAGAGGCTGCTCTCTTTGATTGGTCGTGTGACCTCTCTGCTGGTCGTATGATGGCCCTGTGACGCTGGGGGATGGTCCCGTGAGCGCGTAAAATTGAACCTCACTCGTGATCTTCTTTACTCGGAAAATAGCTCATTCGA